CGAAGCGCCATACTTCCACGCAAACATGTACCTATGTTTGGATGTCTCACAGGTAATTCCCATAAGGCTTCAAAGCATTCTAAACAAGTCGATTCCAGCAGGTTTCCAACGATAGCTCTCTCCATCGCCAGAAAAGAGCCGCTGAGATGCCAAAGAACTCGCTGGAGGAGATTCTAGCTGTTCTTGGCGATGGCAGTGACGAGCTATATCCAATCTACATGACAGGTAATTTGAACTCCTTCGCGTTTCTTGAGAAGATTTTCGTGATCACAGGTCCAAAACTATGCACACTCGTCACCGTCGTGTTTGACGCGAGCTCAAGAACAATGACATTGTATCATGGAAACCCAGCAAAGTCTTCCACGCTCCAGCTTGAAATATCCCTTGATAGTGTTTAAAGGTTCTCTTTTCTTTCTTATCAGATTTTAGGGTTATTAGGGCTAGCGATGGAGGAAGAGCGCCAAGAGCAGCCATCCGCGGCTTCATCCTCGTTCGCTCCAGCTAAAATCAAGACGCTCTTCCCCGCGTCGGCAGCCGGATCGCTCTTCCCGATCTTACAGGTGAGGCGAGAAATTTCGATTCGAACAACAAATGCAGCGTTGTTCTAATCGCATTTTCCAGGCAAAGCATTTCGATGCTGAGGCTCCAACATGGCTGAGCAATGCCAGCTTCTCTGAATCTCTTCTTCCACCTCGTCCTGTAAGTGTAGCGGTAGCACAGCCGAGTTTTAGAGAAGGCGATGGATCCGACTCAAATGGCGATGACGCGGAGCCACTGGGAGAGAAGAAAGACGGGGGCAAGGAGAAGAAACGAAAGAAGGAGAAGGATAAGGAGGACAAACAGAGGAAGAAGCACAAGAAGAAAGAGCAATCCGAGGATACTGTGATCGGTGCCCTCAAAGGAACTCGCTCCGAGAGGAAAGCCAGTGGTGGTATATGGGCTGGGGATGCTGGGAAGGACTGGTACTTTGATTTTCGGGGAGACAAAGACAATCTAGCATTCGAATCCTTGTACAGGTAATTTCTTTTCTTGTTCTTCCTACTTTGCAACCTGGTTTGAAAGCTTGAACTTCTTTATTTTGTAGACACGACATTGCTCGATACCATTTGCACCAGAGCAAGGAAGTTTTGGAAGAAAGGCTATGGAGGAGACGATTGGACTTGGTTAGTCCGGAGGGTGATAGCTGCTCGCAGGAGGAGTCAGTGAGAACAAATGGCCGGTATTGGTCGTCAAAGGTGGCTTCGTTGGAGAGGCGTCGGGACTTTAAACGTTTGTGCTTTGGAGCTTTGCGCTCAAAGAAAACGAGGCATGAAGCAGGAGCCTTGTATGACAACTTCATCGCTCTAAACTTGAACGAAGGCGAGGTTGAGGACCAGGTAGAGATTCCTCAAGAGAAGAGCTGGGACGATTACGTTCTAGACAAGCTGAGATCTTTCAACCAGCTTACGCACGAAAAGCCCGGGGATGAGAGTGTGTGGATCAGTTTCGCAAAATTTCAGGTACACACGAGCTATTTCTCTGGCATGCTCTAAAATCTTGTAATGCACAGGACGAACTCATCGAAGCAGAAAAGCGAAAGACAATGGTCCAGCATGCGATTGACAAGAAAATTTTACTTTTAGAGAAAGCCCTCGAGCATCATCCGAACAGCGAAGAGCTGATTCTCTTGTACCTGGAGACGTGCAGAAGGAAAGATGATCTCGATACGCTGATATCGAAATGGGAGCGGATGATCGTGAGACATAGCGGCAGCTATCGTCTATGGTGGGAATTTTTGAGACTCCGACGATCCACATTTTCTAAGTTCTCGGTATCGGCTCTTAGAAAACTGTACAGTCAAGCTCTTCAGGCTCTCGCTGCTGCTCGTAATCGGCAACAAAAGGAGGTAAGTTTTTTCTTCTTAATATGCATGCATATTAAATTTTTGTCTTCCTCTTTCAGCGTTTAATCGGAGATGATACTTCAAAGCTTGCAGAAGCAGAAGTTGGAGTCATCGCAATTTTTCTGGATCTTTGCCGTTTCGAGTGGCAAACCGGTCACCATGAGCTAGTGGTTGGCCTTTTCCAAGCACAGTTCGAGTATAGCTTTCTCTGTCCGCTTATCCAGCTTTCTCAGAACAACAAACTGAGATTGTTTGAGTCGTTTTGGAATAGTGGTGCACCAAGGATTGGAGAAGCCGGTGCAGTAGGATGGAACACTTGGATGGAGCAGAAAGAAGAGCAGATTCAAAACGCTAAAGCAATGTCTGCTCACAAAATGGAGGAAGAAAGCAGCTGGGCTGGATGGAAAGAAACCAATGAAGTGACAAAGACTGGAATGGAGAAACCAGCGGCCGAGTCGAGCATGAAACAGGAAGTTGACGACGCGGAAGAAAATGACGAGATTGAGGAAGAAGACGATGCAGCGTTGCTTGAAAAGCTTGGACTCAATCTCGACTTGACGAAAGATGTGGAAGTCAAAGACGCTCGTATTTGGAAACGCTGGTCCGAGGAAGAAAGCCAGCGTGACTGTTCACAGTGGCTTCCTGTCAAGCAGCGGTCGAGGTAACGAGCTATATATATATATGTGTGTGTGTGTGTTTTTTTCAGTGTTTTCGGCTTACCTGATAGTCTTTTATGTATGAAGAGCAGCAGGAGATGATCAGGATGAGGACGAGGACGAGGGACTGGAAAATATGGTCCTATTTGACGACATCAGAGAAAATCTCTTTACACTGACGACCGTGCAAGGAAAATTCTATCTCATGGGCCAATTTCTCGAGTTCTGCAACGTGCCTTTGTTTCAATGGTATTTTGTCTATTTTTCTTCCTTATTTAACCTGGTTTCCTGTTCCAGGTATTGCTCCAATGGACTCGGGTATAAAGAACGAATTGACTCGTTGGAGGTTTTAACCTCAGACATCCTAAACGCAAGCACTGACATTCAGGGCCTGGGAAATCTTGTGTTTCCGAAAGACTGGATCAAAGAGTCGAAGGGCCGGGCGCGCTTTGTCCGCAATACGGTTTTCCTGCTGAAGGACATCTTATCACACAATCTACACTTTCAGGAGGTGCTCCTTTCTTTAGAAGCTTTGGAAGCCAGTGAAAATGACGGCAATGACGGCTCTAGTGCTTCTCGAGCTCTTGCAAAGAAGTTACTGAAAGCCAGTCGACAGGTAAGAAGCTTCGCGCTGATACATCGTGTACTAAATAATCTTGTTTAGGATCTTACGCTATGGGCAGCATACGCTTGCTTTGAAGCGTCTACTGGAAATGTTGACGTTGCAAGGAAAATATTTGACACCGCGCTGACATCTTTGAGTGCTCTTCCAAAGGTAAGTTTTCCTGAAACGTTTTCTTTTTTTCCTTTTCCCCTGAGCTGTTTTGTTCTAGGAAGCACAATCGGATGCTTCTTCTATCTACCTTGCCTACGCCGAAGTGGAGATGGCACAGTGTGGCACTGACACCCAAGATTATCAAAGGGTGCTGTATATTCTACACTTTCTAGGACTCGGTGATCCGTATCAACCGAACTTTTCCACTCTGAGCGGGACACAAGTTTTAAAAGCACGACGTGGCTATAACGATCAACTGCAAAAGATTTACACGCTTGGAAAACTGCGCGAGGCGGAGGCATCGCTGGTGATTTGTGCCGCTTTATTTCACCAACTTACCGCAGGATGGCAGCCTGCCACCTCGATTTTTCAACAAATTTTGTCAATGCCCGTGCAAGGTACTTCAGCCACCAATTTTTTATTTTTATTTTTCATTTAAAACAGGTCTGATCTTTCTTTTTCCTGTTCAGATGGTCTGCAAGAAAACGTTCATCACGAACGTCTGTTGCATTGCTATACTACCATGCTTGAAAGCCAGAAAAACTGGGTAAAGCCGACACTTATTCGACAAGTTGTGAAAGAGGGAGCTATGCAGTATCCATTCAACTTGAAACTCCTCACTTCATTCAAGCAAAACACTCTCGCAAATGATACGCGTCGCTTTATCGACAAATTATCGCAGAGGTGGGTCGGTTTTCACGTCTGCCCTTTTCCTCTAAAACGAGTTTGCATGGCCTTGCAGGAAACAATCGAGCTTACAGTGGATTTTCGCATTGTCCTGCGAGGTCCCCATTGCTGGAGCAACCTCTCGCGTCCGTAATGTGTTTGAGCGTGCGCTAGATGCCGGTGGAAGCCAGCATTCCGTTCTTTTATGGCGCTTGTACGTTGCGTATGAGCTCGCGCAGAACAACAATGAAGGTGCCCGACGTGTTTTCTTTCGCGCAATCCATGCATGTCCATGGTACGTTTGCTAGCATTCATGTCAGTGCTTGAAGTTACTAACTAAAACGAGCCTTTTTTGAAGGTCCAAAGCATTGTGGATAGATGGTTTCCAGAAGATGAGCACTGTTCTTAGCGTCAAGGAATTGTCCGACCTTGTAGATATCATGCGCGACAAGGAGCTGCGCATTCGCACCGATGTGTATGAGATACTGTTGGAGGAAGCTGGATAAGCACCCCTGGTAGGTTCTTCATCTTTGCTTTGCTTTGCCTCTCAAGGTGTGGTTTTACTTTTAGGAGCAAATTTGAAGACGATCACCAACCTCTGTTCTGGGCTCTGCAGCTATTCGTTTTTTTTCCTAGTGCTTACTGCCCTGGTGTTTACTCCCAAGTGGTTGCAAGCTTCTGGGCACGCTGGGGTGGCCTTTTGGACAGCTGAGAATTAATGACAAGG